TCCCCCCCCAGGCAGTGCTGGGTAAGGAGGGTTCTGGGTCAGTTCCTCAGCCTCCCCCCCCCTCCAGCTGGCTTCCCTCCCCATAAACTTTCCCCCCCCAGCTGTACGCATCTTCCTTTCCCTCCACGGTCTTTCGTCCTCAGCCTTTGGATACCAGTTTATCTTGTCCTTACACGAGTCATTTGGCTTTTCCACTCTGTTTTAGACGTTTCCTTTTTATTCCTTTTCTTGTTGTATTTCTGTGTCTTTGGAAGATCCAATCTATCTCCACCTACTTTTCTCTTCCTCTGGCCCAGATTGCTACCCCCCCCCCCCGCCCTTGCTCTGCGGGGCTGTTTTACATATGGAAGGGGCCTTTGACTAAATCTGCTGGCATTCCGCGAGTTTCTCTGCAGAGCCCTGCCGTGTGCCTAGGGCTCTCCCACTTCCTGTGGTCGAGAGCTACCTAGGAACGGCAGCGAGAGGCGCTGGTTACCCTTTCCTTTCTCCGCACAACTTAGTTGCTGGAGAAAACTGAGCCAGGACGTGCCTTTTTGAGAAAAATGTCTTCAGTGTGCTGTTGTCGGGTCAAGTGTGAGGGCTCTGTGGCTCTGTGGCTCTGTGGCCGCGGCGAGGAGGGCCTGCGAGACCCGCCCCCTTTTTTGCAACTACACTAGGTATGCAAATGCTGCTTTTTCGGCCACCCCTGGCAGTGGGGAGGATTGCTATGTAATTTTAAATTGACATGCGGGCTGGGTGGTTACTGCTATTTAGCCACTTCCTGCCTCCCAGTGTGGGAGATCCAGAAAAAGGAGAGATGGAGATGGAGAGATTTTTGTGATACATCCGTGTCACTATTGTAGTTTTCAGACTACTGCAGTTTGGCAGATTTTTTTTCCTTTTTTTGTCAGTCGTGGGGCTTGAATTCTGAGCCTGGGCACTGCCCTTCAGCTCTTTAACTCAAGGCTATCACTCTACCACTGGAGCCACAGCGCCACTTCCGGACTACTACAGTTTGGGAAGTCAGCCTTTCATTTGATGGGCAAGGTGGAATTTAATAATTGTTCTGGTTGTGTGTGTGTGTGTGTGTGTGTGTGTCTCGCGTCGCTGAGCTTTTTTGCTCAAGGCTAGTGCTTTAACACTTGAGCCACAACTCCACTTTTGGCTTTTTTTTCTTTTGGTAGTTAATTGGAGATAACAGTCTCATGGACTCTTTCTGCCCAGACTGGTTTTGAACTGCAATCCTTTAGATCTCAGCCTCGGAAATAGCTAGGGTTATAGACATGACCACTTGCACCCATATGCTCTATTTAAAAAAAAATTCCTAGGGAAAGACTTTCATCATTAAATAAAATCATACATATGGATATAGTATATGTATATGAATATAGGTACACACAAATATATGCTTTTTATTTTTTTGGTCCTGGGGCTTGAACTCTGGGTCTGGGCGCTGTCCCTCAGCTCAAGGCTCAAGGCTCTCAGCTCTTCAGCTCCAGGCTGGCTGGTAGCGCTCTGCAACGTGAGCCAAAGCACCACTTCCGCTTTTCTGGTGGTTTATTGGAGATAAAGAGTCTCATGGACTTTCCTGCCCCAGCTGGCTTTGAACCCTGATCCCCAGTGTGTTAGGTTTTTAAAAAGAGGTAGCCGAGTAAGAACAGCTCCAGCACACACGTGGTATTCAGGTAAGAGGTAGGTTTATTCAGTAGACCTGCTGGGACCAGGCAAGGTTGGCTCTCCACGCGGCTGGCAAAAGAAAGAGGAAAGAAAGGAAAGAGAGAGAAAAGAGCTAGAAAAGAGCAGAGAGAGCAAGAAATGAACAGAGAGAGAGCTAGAATAGAACAGTGAGAGAGCCTGGGCCCTGCCCTAGGCCTTAACCAGGGTAGGGCGGAGAAAGGTGTGGCCACATCAAATTCAGATGTGACCTCTTCCAGGTGCCCCAGTTGCCTAGGTAATGCAGGTATTAGGTGGAGACTTTGCTGCGGGGAGGGTGGAGTCTGCTAGCCATCCAGGAGCGGACCTTACACCCAGATCTCAGCCTCCTGAGAAGCTAGGATTACAGGCGTGAGCCACTAGCGCTTGTCTAAATATATGATTTAAAAAAAAAAATTGTCAGTAATGGGGCTTGAACTATGGGCCTGGATGCTGTCCCGAAGCTCTTCAGCTCAAGGCGAGCACTTTACCTTTTGAGCCACTTTGCCGCTTCCAGTTTTCTGGTGGTTAGTTGGAGATAAGAGTCTCATGGACTTTCCTACTCTGCCTTGCTTTGAATGGTGTTACTCAGATCTCAGCCTCCTGAGTTGCTAGGATTACAGGCATGAGCCAGTTCCGCCCAGCCTGAGTAGCTATTATTACAGGCATTACAGGTATGAGTCACCATTGCCTGACTTCTTATCTCCAGTTAACTACCAAAAAGCTGGAACTAAAGCTGTGGCTGGCTCTAGTGATTGAACACCAATATTTTTCTAGTTACTTGGTCTTGAACTCTGGGCCTGGGAGCTGTCCCTCAACTCATCAGCTCAAGGATAGTGATCTACCAATTGAGCTACAGCACCCACTTCTGGCTTTTTTTGTTTATGTGGTGCTGAGGAATTGAACCCAGGGCCTCATGCATGCGAGGCAAGCACTCTACCACTGAGCCATCTTCCCAGCCCCTTTTCTAGTTACTTTTTACTTTTATTTTTTGTGATATGATTTGAGTGGTATCCATTAGTTTAATTATAAGTCTGAATCTCTAATACACTCCAATTAAAAATATAAAAAATACATAGAATAATCCGGGCGCTGGTAGCTCACGCCTGTAATCCTAGCTACTCAGGAGGCTGAGACCTGAGGATCACGGTTCAAAGCCAGCCTGGGCAGGAAAGACTGTGAGACTCCTATCTCCAATAAACCACCAGAAAAAAACCAGAAGTGGCGCTGTAGCTCAAGTGATAGAATGCTAGCCTTGAGCTGAAGAGCTGAAGGACAGCGCCCAGGCCTAGAGTTCAAGCCCCACGACCCACAAAAAAAAAAATACATAGAATATTCAGAGATCAATTTATAAATTACTTTCTAAAACAGATCCCGTGCTACTCTCTATTACATACAGATTACCTGTCTATAATGTATGAAGTTTAATTTTCATGGCTGATTTCAATATCTAGTGTAGCTTCAAATAATAATAATTTTGGGGGGTCGGGGTTGGTCGTGGGGCCTGAACTCTGGGCCTGGGCGCTGTCCCTCAGCTCTTCAGCTCAAGGCTAGCACTCTATCACTTGAGCCACAGCAGCACTTCTGGCTTTTTCTTTTAATCTGGTGCTGAGGAATTGAACCCTGGGCATCATGCATGCTAGGCAAGCATTCTACCACTAAGCCACAGTCCCAGCCCTATCAAGGCAATCTTGATAAAAGAGATTGAACACAGGGGCTGAGAATGTGGCCTGGTGGTAGAGTGCTTGCCTTGCATGCATAAAACTTTGGGTTCAATTCCATTACCACGTACGCAGAAAAAGCCAAAAGTAAGCCGGGCGCTGGTGGCTCAGGCCTGTAATCCTAGCTACTCAGGAGGCTGAGATCTGAGGATCATGGTTCAAAGCCAGCCCGGGCAGGAAAGACTGTGAGACTCATCTCCAATAAACCCCCAGAAAAAACCGGAAGTGGCGCTGTAGCTCAGGTGGTAGTTTGCTCACCTTGAGCTGAAGAGCTGAGAGACAGCATCGAAGCCCAGAGTTCAAGCCCCATGACCGACAAAAAAAATAAAAGAAAAAGCCAAAAGTGGCTCTGTGGCTCAAGTGGTAGAGTGCTAGGCTGGAGCAAAAGAAGCTCAGGGACAGCACCCAGGCCCTGAGTTCAAGCTCCAGGACTGGCAAAAAAAAAAAAAAAAAGAAAGAAAGAAAGAAAGAAAAGAGATTAAGCATATAGAATGCTTGCCTGTATACATGAATTTTAATTTTTATGGCTGGTTGAAATATCTAGTTTATATGTTCCTAATTTTAAACTCCAGTGGAATCTTGGTACAAGGGATTAAAAAGTATTTACATTGTTAAATTTCTAGGGATTGGAATGGGTTTTTTTTCACAATAAGAAATCATTCTTCACAATATGTCATCTTTTAGAGATTGTTATTGGAATGCTTTTTGTTTTCTACAACAGCAGTGTTTTTTGGAGAAAATATCCTACAGTTCTTGACAGCCAAAGTGTGAGTTATATAAGCCAAGCATTTTTTTTATTGTGAATTTTTTTAGAAAAAAGGAAAAGCAGTAAGTTTAGATGACAAGAATTCAAGTTAGATATTCGCTAGTATTTGTATTTAGTACAGATTTATCAAGGTGTAATTATCATGCAGTTAATATCATGCAGTTAATATCATCAATAATATTTTGTGTATGTGTGTGTGTGTGTGTGTGTGTGTGTGTGTTCATTCCAGGACTGGGGCTTGAACTCAGGGCCTGGACTCTGTCCCCTAGCTTTTTTACTCTAAGGCTAGTGGTCCATTTTTGGGTTTTTGTTAGGTAATGTGAGATTTTCTGCCCAGGCTGGCTTCAAACTGTGATCCTCACATCTGTCTCCTGAGTAGCTAGGATTTATAAGCATGAGCAACCAGGGCCTTGTAAGTGTAGTTTCTTTTTTTTTT